AAAAGCAGAGGAAGGTGTCTGACTTTGGGATCCCCAAAGCAGGCCTTGACACAGTGACTTAAGTGCAGGTAGTATATTTGGGAGGAAGCCCACATGAGTGTGGATGTAGCACCAAGCCAAAAAGGCCAACAAGTGGTGGAGTTCAGCCTTGTGGGGCCCCTCTGAGAAGCACTGTGATTCACACCTCAGGATTGTTCCAGGTAAGAACAAAACATGGCCATGTATCCATTGATTTCTTACAGCCCTTGGTCAAGAGCATGATTCCAGGTTATGCCTGAGCTTTACCTAACATTATCCTGTGGGTTGGAAAAATGTTGGGAGCAGCTGAAGTTGGAAATTGGTCATATGTAGGAGTTCAGGCCAAGGCCCCAGTGTCTAAAGCAGTCAAGCAATCTCAGTCTTGAGAAAAGCATCCTGCCTAAACAATTTCAGTCATTGTTTGTTAGGCAACCTTGTGTCTCAGGATACTAACTTTGCAAAAGTATAAATAAGCACCCTGGCTGTTGTTGTTCGTGTCCTTTGTCCACCAGCAGAAGCCTCCACCTGACCTTACCTATTGTATCTTCTTTATATTCTAAATTCTCCCCCCCACCATTTTCTCCCAGGGATCATGGAGAGACCAATGAGTCCCTACAAGAAAAGCATCTGCAGAGTGAGCTACAGACAGATGCAGGGCCTGAGATGGCACACAACCTTCATGGTTGCCCTTAAACTCAGAAGAAGACCTGGGCAAGGCATAGCTGAGCAGCAGTAGTGTCGTGTGTGAAAGCAATATGGTCCTCTTTGGTTTTTTTCACTGGATAACCCAAATGCTTTTCCTCTGAAGTAGCAGGACTGTCAGAGTAGGCATATTTCTGCAAAGCTCTGTGAGGTTCATTGGTTTCAACAGAACTTTTTCACTACTAATCACAAGTTCAATGAAGCAAATGAAGAATTTAACACTATCAAGCCAATGGGAAAGGAAACATCAGAGATGAACTGTATTTCCCATACTGTTAAAACTGTCCTTAATACCATACATGGCTTTATTGTTGCTTTGGTTTTCTTGCTGGCCATCAAACCCAGGGCTCCTTGCACATCAGGCAAACTTTATATCATGGAGAACAGCCCTGCTCTCCATGTGTGTTCTTGCCTCCATGCCTCCCAGTTCTGTCTTCCCTTCTTTTGGCAATGCCAGAAGGGTTGACTTTAATCTAGGAATTCTGTTATCTTCCCAACATGGCAATTTATTGTCTCTTAATCAGTCCACTAAAATTTTACCTAAATGACAAACTATTCTCAATGTCTTCAGAAATGTGCCTACACCACAGACATCCCTGGGGAGGGAAAGGAGGCACTGGCACCAGCAATCCCTGCGTGTTACAGTTCTGAGCTCTGCTCAGCTTCCCCAGGTTCCTTTGATCTTCAGACTTGTGAACAAACACTTATTTATTTATGATTATTATAGCTATTGGTGCCTAACTTTTCTTTTTTTAAAAAAGTATTTCCTTCTTTCATGTTATTCCTATTATCATTTGCTTGTGTCATATATATATATATATATATATATATATATATATTTTTTTCTGTGGGAGAAACTATATCCACACAAAAAAATACAACAGACAGTGCAGTGTTCTCATGTATTTCTCGCTTTGCATACACATGCACAGCCTCACTCCCACACTCTCAAGATCTTGTACCACAGCATATACTTGTTATGATCCACGAACGCGCAGTGACACACCATTATCACTCAATGTGCTAGTCTATCCTAGGGCTCAGTCTGCCGCACAGTATGTAGTTCTTGACGAAAATAAGATAACCTTATCCACCACTGTTGTATTGCACAGAGTAGTTTTACTACTCCAAACTAAGTTGTATTTTAAAGCAGATGCAGCCAGCACACTCTGAAGGCAATGTTCTGAGGTCAGGCAGCTCTTTCCTCTTACCAACTAGAGAGATGCTTCAAGCTCCAAATCTATGTTGCTCCCCAAACCATCATTTCGGGGATGCAAAATCATAGGACCAAGCAGAAGTGTCTTTAAATGTTAACTTTCACGTTTTCAGGATGTTATCTTCCATTTTTGACACACACAGACAGACTCTGAAGTGAGGCCACTTGCCTGTAGCAGATGAAATGCTCTTGAACTAGAGGGCAGAGTGGATGGGCGCTTTAAGGGCAGAGCGTGTCTGGTAATCCTGAAGCAGGGAATACAGTGGTGCTTAGGGCTGCACTCAGGTGGATTTCTCTGACCCAGGGCTCTAATCCTGGATGCTCAGCACATTAGGAGGATGAGGACTCCTTAATCTCTGCCTTCAGACTCTTACCCTCAGCAAACTCCTCTCGGCAGCACATAGACGACTTAGCTAGTGCTAATTCTGTCTCAACTGGTTAGGGCAGTAAGACGTGAACCTCATGAACTAAAGCCCTTGCCGAATCAGCAGATATTTACTGCACAGCTGTCTGGAGCGCAGGAGCCAGGTGCCGGCCGGATGATATTTGTTCCCATACTGTGTTCACACATTAGAACCAGTGCAGTTGGGGTCAAAAATCTTGAATTTGAGCCATTCTATATATATAAAAATATTTGATGTAAGTAGCATGTGTAAGTTTCATATTTAAGAAATAGGTAATTCAATGAGAGGAAAGAGGTGTACTAACAGTGTTTGGACAGAATATCCTGTCTGCTTCTTGTACTATGGATAACCACTAAGAAGATAACAATGTACAGTGCACTGATTATCAAAACTGTCCTATTAATCAGCGGTGAAACTGTCTCATTCATATTTATTTCTCATTAAAATTAAATTAAAAAAAGAGCACAGGAGGACACCAGCCTCCCACAGATGGCAAAAAAACAAAGAAATAGATGATAGAATTAACTATTTCTTCAACCGAATTACATTAACAAAAATAAATGTAAGCTGAAAACAATTACATTTACAAAAATAAATATAAATTCTTAGAATTAAAGGTAGGTACATTGCAGGTTCTTTATTTAAAACATGAAATAATCCTCAGAATCTTCACATATTCATTATCCTAGCTGTCCTGTGAGTTCTAACAAGTGTATTCATGCTAAATGTAATCCACACTAGGTTAAGTATTTTTTCATTTAAAAAATAATAAATGGGAAATTATTTTAAGGCTAGGAAAACCAAGAGAACTGCTCAAATGCATTATATTATCAAACATTTCTAAGAGAAAAATTAAGTTAGGAGAATAGAGATCATGCTAATTTCTCATAGCTATAGTTAAAAGTGTGGAAAAAAATCAGCTGAGCACTGTGGTTCATGCCTGTAATGTGAGCACTCTGGCAGGGTGAGGTAGGAGAGTCACAGGTTCAAGCCTAGTTGGGGCAAGTTAGTCATTTATGGAGGTCCTTTCTTAAAATTAAAATTTAAAAAGGGCTGGGAATGTAGTTCAGTGAAAAGTCCTGAGTTCAATCCACAGTAACACACACACACACACACACACACACACACAGAGTAACACACACACACACCACACACCACACACCACATACATGGCAAAACAAAAAATGGGGCCAGGGATATAGCTCAGCTGCTTAAGCTCCTGCCTGGCAAGTACAAGGTCCTGAGTTCCATTTCCAGTACCAAAAAGCAAAGGTGAGTTATATATATATATGGAAAGTTTTTTAAATGTATACAATAAAATCAATTATTAATATTCAAAATCCATTTGTTTGTTAATTGAAATAGAGCTTATGGCAAGATTACATGAAGAAATTGGCATATAATACCTGACTTTCTAATTAGAGATGCACATGTTTCCTGACAAGACTATAAGAGAATCCTAAAATTAGTCCACACTTGTTTCAAAAAGAGAGAATTATACACTCATGGTATCTTCACAGCCCAAATGGTGTCAGTCATAGTAGGAGAAATTGCATTGCTTTGTAAGCCTGAGTAACTGAGGTCACCTCCAACCCCATCTAAGACCTGAAGGCTTTTGCCAGTTCTGGGGGGCTTTGTCTTCAAGCACACTGCTGCTCTGGGCTGTTACACTAGGAAGGACTTCTGTCTGCCCCATGGCTGCCTTCCCTCAGTTGTTCCCTTCTCTACCTCTATATAGCTTCAGAATGCAGCCTGCTTTTGTCAATAGTCACATCAAACCACACATAGACAACGTAAGTGTGTGCAACCCATTTTGTTAGGGTCTGAGCTGATAGTAGGGGTGGGTATGGTGGCATCAAAACTTAACTGCTGAACCTTAGGCTTCATTGTTAAGTATTCTGTTGAGCCACTTTAGTAATTCAGGATCTCTTGGCCTTCTCTTAGATAGTATTCTAACAACTCTCAAACAATTTCCCCTACTTTGTTTTTCGCAGGCCTTTGTAACCTCCCTGACTATTCTGAGCATTGCCTAGTTGGGCTTTTGGCTCTAGATCTGTCAGTATGTTCCTTCCCTGCCCATATATGCCAAGGATCAACAGCTTCAGAGATTTCTGTTCTGCTGATTTGAATTATACCAAGAATTGTGCACCTCCACCACTTTTTCTGCCTCTTCCTCCTTCTCCCTCTTCCTCTTCTTGTTAATAATGTTTGCAGCACATAATGACTGCATTCATCACAGCCAGTGGGTACAGGTACATAATACATCTTAACTCTTCTCCTTTACTCCCTCTCCCTTTAACAGTGCACATTAGAAAGCAGAGAAAATAGATATTTTTCTATTATTCTAGCACAGTATAAACTAACATGAATGATCGCTCTAATGTTGGGTAGTACTGTCAATACAGACAGTTAATATTGAAGCCATTGGAAACAGTCCTGAAGTCTATTTCACTTTTACTAGGGGCATGTATATGCTTTAGCATTTGTCTGAATGAGTGTCGCCTCAGCACACCTGTGGCAAGTGTCTGCACACAGGTGCTTCTGTGCTGGGCTGCCCTCTCCTCGTGCTTCCTTTCCCCTGGAAAGCTCATTGTCACTAGGCACACCTATGCCTTTTTGAAATGTCTAGTTTTTGACCCATTCACAATTACTGTGCCAGAGCACACTTCAGCAGCACATGTACTAAAGTTACAATAGCATAGAGAAGATTAACATGGCCTCTGGGCAAGGATGACACACACATTCGTGAAGTGTTCATATATTTTTCAGACCTTGTGACATCTATAAGACATCCAATAAAGAAAGAGGAA